CAAAAATGAAAGAAAAAGACCATTTCTATAACACTTGGTTAGTATGGGCACTTTGTAGTTTTCAGCAGTTTCCATTGACTTCTTTAATCTTCACAACAACCTAGGAGAAAGGTCCTATTGTTTGTTATCTCTGTTTTGTTTCCAGTTAAGGAAACTGAGGCAGGAAGAGGATGACTAATTTGTCCTAGAGCACAAAATTGGTGACTGTCCAAGCCCAGGAGGTGCTCCTGACAGCCATCTTGCACTGACTCGCAACATTCCCCACTTGCTTGTCCAAAAATAACAACACAGATTGACTCAGTTCACAGACAAGTCAGTCAAAACTATTGCAAGCATGAAATATAAAAACAGCCAGTAAAATAGAGAGTTAAGTCTAAATCCTTGTTAGAATGGTTGTAAGATGAATCAAGTATAAAAAATAATTCTTAAAATATAAGACACGTAATATTAAAAAGCATATAATAAAAAGAAATAGTCTGGTTCTAAAGGGCCATTTACACAAACAACAACGAAAGGACCCCCCAAATTATCAAAATTGGCTTACAAACAAGTAGAAGACCTGAATCAACCATGGAAAAAAGTGAAAAGCTGTCAGGATAGAAAACAAAAAACAGACCTTTGGAGGTGGGGGACAGTCTATGAAACTTCCACAAACAAATCATTCCTGTGCTGTTTCAAGTGTTCCAGAACACAAATTTAGAGACAACACCTCCACCTCCTAACTCGTATTTGACTAAACTTCAATAACCTGGAACCCAAAACCTGACAAAATTAAGAAGTAGCGTATCAAATTCAGCAGGATTTTAAAAGACTGCTATTGTTATCAAAGCAACTGATGGCTTTTAAAATAATTTTTATTGCACCATACCTGGGAAAATTAGGGAATAGGATATTATGTCATAGCAAAAATTTACAGTGAGTCATTTAAAGCTGTTGCTCTTTTTAGTACAATATTTGTATCATCTGAACCTAAAAACGTAGTCACTTTTAGTGTGCGTAACAACAGTTATCGAAGATTTATTGAGATCTTACTAAAAAGAAATATATAGAGCAGATTCTGATTCAAAGAACTTAGAATGCAGAGGCAAATAAAATTTATAAGTATGAAACAATTTCACTTAAAATTACAAGACGTTATAGAATGTAATTCTATCCAGTACTTGAAAGTTCTATTCTGTACTTTTAATATTTGAGGTTATTTTAGAGTGTATAGCAATTTCATATGGTATATATGAATGGTTGTTAGATAAAGTACAGATGACCCATTTTGCATTTCAGATAAGCAAACAATGACTTTTTGGTAAACATATGTCCCCAATAAGTATTTGTGATATACTAAAAAAATTATTTGCTGTTTATCTGAAATTCAGATTTAATTGGGCATCTTTTATTTTTATTTGCTAATTTTTGCAATCTTATCTATACATGATAATCTATATTTTAAGTGCTTGTTTCATTATTCTCTTATTCTCATTGTTATAATTATGTCTAAAACATGAAATATATATTTTTTGCATTTTATAGATATACCTGAATTTATTTAACCAAGCCTCCCTTAATGGCTATTATTCTTACCAATTTTTGTAATTATAGCAAGTAACGCTAAAATAAACATTATTGTCATACTTATATTTGCAAAAATGTTCCCCACACCCATTAGGTGTCTTTTGACTTTTCTCGTGGTATTAATATATATAAAGAGAAATTTCATTTAAATTGTATGTGGTCATCAATCATTTCATTTATGGCTTCTGGATTTTGTTGGATGCTTTATAAAAACCTTCCTCACTCTAAACTAAAATGATAAAATGATTCATTCATGTTTTCTACTACTTCCATAGTTTCAATCTTAAAATCTTTGAAATCTTTGATCTGTCTAGAATTTATTTCGCGGTAGGGTTTAGGATAGGGATCAGCTCTATTTTGCTTTTGAATGATTAAGTCAGCTGTCTCAGCACCATTTACTGAATAATAATTTTTGACCCATTGATTTAAAATGTCACCTTTGTCATATAGAAAATTTTCAAATGTGCTTTGGTTTATTTTTGCACTCTTTGTTCTATTTCATTGATCTGAATGTCTATGCCTGCACCAGTGTCACTCTATTTTAATAACTGTAACTTCGTAATATATTTCAAGTACATTTTCTTATCTGGTGGGGCAAGGTCCCTCTCATTTTTCCTCTTTTTTGGAAAAGTTTTGCCTATTCTCACCTGTTTAATCTTCCTGATAAACTTTAGTATCATTTTGTCAAGGTAAAAAACCTCAGGAATAACTTATTGATATTTTGATAGGGATTACATTGCATTTATTAATATAAGTTAATATACAGAAAACTGTTGTTTCCATAATATTGAATCTTCTTATTGCAGAACAAGGTATGGATTTCTATTTATTCAAGTTTTTTATGTTACTCAGTAGAATTTTAAAGTTTTCTTTATATATTTTCTGTATATACATATATATTACTATTATTATTAAATAAGTCAGTTATTTGAATCACCAAATTTCAGTATTAATGTACATAAAAATGGTGTACCATAAATGTTAGTGATAGTAAACTGATTTTAAAATAATCAGAGCAAAGAGGACTTCAGCTGGAATAAAATCATAATCATTTTCCTTTAAGAATTCAAACAATATTTTCTACTTGATTTTATAATATTTTTATAACGTTTCAAATATATTTTATTCCCCTAATTATTCCCAGGTTATTTATGTTATATGTTACCTTAATATATGAGAAAATTGTACTGTTTGCTAACGGTTAGTCAAAAAAAGTTAATTACATTTTTCATTAGTAACTGCTTTCAGAATTCAGTTTTATTATTCATGACAGAACTAGTAAATAATCAAGATGTACTACCTGACAACCTTACTAAAGTAAGTGTTG